TGATTAAGCCACCCAGGTGCCCTCTGAGATCCCATTATTTAAAAAAATTTTAAAAAACTTTAAAAAATCCATGCACATATAAATAAATGTTAAAATTTTAATATTTGAGTATAATGAGCTCAAACATATTATACATGGTGGTTGTGTTTGATTTTAGAGATGGTAGATAAGAGAAATGAAGCTTTTACTTTATAATTTAGTCTTTGCTCTTCCTTGATTTTTTTGAAGATGAGTGATGGTTTCAATGTCTTACAAATCTTTGCTACATATAAAATAATAATTACATGTTATAGAAATGTAATATCACATAAAAAATATAGTGGGATTTATTTCCTAAAATTTTCTTTGAAAATGTATGTGATTATTGTAAATTACATATACATTTGTATTTATATAAAGATATCTTATTTGATTATCTTTTTCAAATATGTATGCCTTTGTAAGCATAATCTGTTTTCTCTATTAAATGCTATCAAATTGAATTCTAATTTTTCTAAAATATATATCTATATTTGTTTTATTATTTTATTTATTGGCTGTCTTACCACTAGAGTTATAATTATATTTACTATTTTTTGTTGTTCTATTACTCACTGACAGCTAGGTTTTTGTAACCTAGTTTTATTTATTTATGTATGTATGTATGTATTTATTTTTAATACAATTTATTATCAGGTTGGTTAACACAGTATATACAATGTGACCTTGGTTTCCAGGGTAGATTCCAGTGATTTATCACTTACGTGCAACACTGAGTGCTCATCCCAACAAGTGCCCTCCTCATTCCCCATTGCCCATTTTCCCCTCTTCCCCACCCCCCTCATCAACCCTCAGTTCTCTTTTTCTCTTATGTTTTGCCTCCCTCCCTGTCTGTTTGTAACTATTTTTTCCCCTTTCCTCCCTCCATAGTCTCTTGTTAAGTTTCTCAAATTCCACATGTGAGTGAAAACATATGATAGCCACCTTTCTCTGACTTACATATTTCACTTAGCAGAATACTCTCCAGTACCGTCCATCTTGCTGCAAATGGCAGGATTTTTAAGCTAGTTGTAGAATTTGTGTCTTCTAACTGGACAATTTAATCCATTTAAATTCACTTTTACGATTTGATTTTTTTATTTCACTACTATCATTTTCTATTGTTTATTTTCTTAATGCTATATGTATTTATTTCATTTTCTCTATTGCAGTTATTAGTTGTTCTTGTATATTATTCTTCTTGTTTGTGTTAGTTTAATCAAATTAATGCTTAAATAAAAATTGTCTACCAGTACCAAGGAATAAACAAGTTACAATTATTTGTATTATTTTTTATTTAAGGGATTTACATGTGTTATTTTATTTAATCCATATTTCTTTTAAATTTATTTAAATTCAAGTTAGTTAACATGCAGAGTAATATTGGTTTCACGGGCAGAACTCAATGAATTATCTCTTACCAATGACACTCGGGGCTGATCCCAACAAAAGCCCACTTAATGCTTTCACCGCCCACCCCCAACCACTCCCCTCCAGCAACCCTCAGTTTGTTCTCTGTATTTAAGAGTCTCTCATAGTTTGCCTCCCTCTCTGTTTGAATCTTATTTTTCCTTCCCTCACCCATGTTCATCTATTTTGTTTTTTAAATTACACATATGAGTAAAATCACGTGATATTTGTCTTTCTGACTTATTTCACTTAACATGATACACTCAAGTTCCATCTATGTTGTTGTAAATGGTAAGACTTCATTCTTTTTGATAGCCAGGTAGTATTCCATCAACTTATGAATGAGATTATTTTTGTTGTTTATTTTTTATTTGAAACACCCTTCTCATTCACACTCATAAATGTAATACAATTTTATGCAATCAGTTTATTTTTAAAAAATTAGCATCTGGGGCGCCGGGATGGCTAAGTCACTTAAGCACCCGACTTCTGCCCAGGTCATAATCTCATGACTTGTGAGTTACAGCCCTGTGTCTGGCTCTGTGCTGACAGCCCAGAGCATGGAGCCTGTGTCTCCTTCTCTCTCTCTGCCCCTCCTGAGCTCATGCTCTGGCTCTCTCTCTGTCTCTCTCTCAAAGTAAGCAAAAAAAAAAAAAAAATTTTTTTTAAACTTAACATCATTTATTTTCCAGAAATGAGTATTTGCCTTAATTGTCTTATTTGAAGCCATGATCATAACAGGCATTATACTTACTCCTTTACTACTATGAAATTTCCTTCTTGAGTCCTGGGTTTTGAATAGTTTCTTAAAGATTAATGTTTGTTCCATTGATCAAACCTATCTCCTTAACAAGATCACCTCTAGAAAATGGGAGTTCCCAGAAGACTGTCTGTACCTTTAAGTCTTTTCCATCCCAGGAAGCATAATGGGAACACAAATTGTTTAAGTAATGCCAGACTGACTATAGGTTTCATACCTTTTTTTTTTTTTGAGCCTTGGAATTACACATACCCTTCCATTTCTAATTATGTTGCTTTTTATTAATCCTGTCTAAAATTTGGTGAACAATTTTGATTAATTGCATATTTGTTCTCTATTTCTCTTCTTTTCTCTCTCTCTCTCTCTCCGTTCTCTCTCCCTTCTCTCTCCCATCATTCCTCTCTCTAATTTATCTATATATTTCCTTCATATTCTGAATTTCTAACATTTGCTCTTTTCAAGAAACCAAAGAAAAAATTGTTCTTTTTTTCTCTAGCCAGTAATAGTCCTGTACAAACTGCAAATCGAATATGAATTATTTTTCTGCTTCAATTTCTTTCCTATTTCTGTTATCTCAGTGTTAATATCTGCCTCTAAAATAGCTATCCTTTTATTTTGGCTTTCTGCTATTATTTCATACAAATCATTCCTATTTGCATCTTTTTTCTTAAGCAATCCGGCGGTTTTAGGTATATATTTTTCTGATTCTATTAGTAGGTCCTTGTGAAGGTTGTGCTCCTCTGACTCTATCCAGCACTAGCATTTGGTGCATATATAAAGTGGCTGCAAGCCCTTAATACCATTTTCCCGGATGCTCTCTGCTTCCTCCTCCATAAAACAAAACTCCCAAGCCATTTGGGTGGGACTACACTTTAATTTAAATGTGACACATAACAAATTTCTGTGTAATACAAGTGTTCTGGGAAAATTTTGGTGTTTACCTTTCCTTTGGTGTTTTGCTCTGAATAGGTTACACACGTGTGTTAAAAACTAGACACACATCCCGACTTTTCCAACTGTGTTTCCTGTTTGCTGTTTTCCTGCTTGCAGGTTGGGGATTGGGGATAAAATAAAAATACTTCCTTCTACTTTTTTTTAATTTACCATCAAGATTTTGTTCACACGACATTTATTTGGATCACAGCTACCAGTTTTTCTTGTCAATAGAGTGAATTTTTCATAAAATTAGGTTTGGAAGCTAGGAGTTGGTAAAGTAGAAAAGTTAAGAATATGAGTGCTTAATTCAGGATTGTGCTTATCACTCCCTTCCCATCAATTAAAAAAGTATGTAATCTAGAAAATTTGCTAACCTTTTTACCAAGGGACTGTGGGATAGTAAAGAGCACAAGATTTGAATCAGAGACTTGAGTTCAAGACTTGGTTCTGAATATATTTGCAATATGACTTCAGATTAACACCTAAACTTAATGACCTTCATTATGTTCTTTTTCTCTCTAATAGAAATGTGCATTTTTATAGCAGAAAATCAAAAAGTATTTAGCAGGTATTAACACTCAAACTTAGCTAATAATAAGCTTAGATTGGTTATGTAATATTGTACAGCTTCGTATATATTTTAATGGAGTATTTGAAGAAAGCTTGATATATATGGCCAGTGGATCACTATTTCAAGAGAGGAGCTAAGAGTCATGTATAGTGGCATGCTTTAATTTATTTTAATATCATCATGCTGTATCATGTTCAAATGAAACAATTTTATAAGTGATCAGATAAACTCAAATATGAACATATGAATTGAGTTTTCTTCATAAAATACTGCATGGATAAATGTGATATATATTTTAATAATCTTACACAAACATTAACGTTCATTAATAAGTATTTCTTGAAACTCTGATTAAGTTATATAGTAGTGAATTAACAGGAGGGAATAAGTATAGAAGATTTAAAACATATTAACACATATCATATTTTAACCGCAGTATTTTGAATTGTGAGTGTATATATGTATAGGGGTTATATGTATGTGTGTATGTAGATTTTTTGAAAACAAGGAATACCGAGAGAAAATAATTAAAATATATATTATTTATTAGGAGAAAAACAGCAGTAAATACTTTAACCTAAATATAACTCAATATACCTTAAGGTTTTGTGGATATATTTAGTATGAAGACAAGAATATGAAATCATATTTTGTACCTGTTATATTTGTAGAGGTTTTATGTTTGAAATTGGGTAAATCATTTTAGGGTTTTTATAGCTTACTGGTATATTTGCCAGAGTTACCTTAGTAGTAGATTGTAATGGAACGCATTTCTTCCAAGCCTGAAGGTTGAAATCCCAGTAGCTGTAACCAGGTATATGTTCTGTCCTTTTAGATGTTGACAAAGATGCCATGCCAATTGCATCATCAGTCAGCAACAAATAATAAATATGGTAATAAATACTTATTTTTACTGAAAATCGATTCTTTATTAAAATGACTTCTGTCTAGGGTCACCTGGTTGGCTTCGTTAGTTAAGTGGCTGATTTCGGCTCAGTTCATGATCTCATGGTTCATGTGTTCAAGTCACAGTTTGGGCTCTGTGCTGACAGCTCAGAGCCTGGAGCCTGCGTTAGATTGTGTGCTCCCTCTCTCTCTCTGCCACTCCCCTGGTCTTGCTGTCTCTTTCTGTATCTGAAAAATAAATAAACGTTAAAAAATTTAAACATGTTCCACCTTTCAGAAAAAACTTGAAAAAAGACTATCTATATGCAAGTATGCATGTATGTATGCATATATGTATATATATGCATGTGTATAGTTATATACACTAGCTTTTGTGTAAATATAAAGAACATGTGGAAGTCCCAGTGAAGAAATGTTCAAGGCTATACCTTCTGTCCTAGTCCCAGATCCTGTAAAGGTGAACTCACTGGGCCGGCTGGGGAAAGGAAGAAAGTTTGTTACAAAAGGAATTGTCTGAGGGAGCATAGCATTTCTAGACATGGGAAGGAGAGAAATAATCCCTTGAGGAAAGTCATTACATTTCTGTTCCCATCTGAAGAAAGACAATTATAATGGATTCCAACTCTCAGAGGATATCAAAAAGGAAATTTTAAGTCATTTTTTAAGCAACCAGCTGTTCAAATTAGCATACAATCATTTCAGCCTTACAAAATAAAGTTTTAACTTTCAAATAAAAAAGAACATATTGAAGGCATATGATGTAATATTATTCCATCTCTCCACCCCACCTACCTGTACACTATTTTGTTTATCTCATATTTTTATGATATCAAATTACCTCTGATACTACTTCAGGTTAGTTTGATGGTATTGCCATAAAATAAGTTTTTTGAATGTTTAAACCTATCCCTATCTTTTTAAAATTAATGCCAACTACTAATTTACTTCAAGTCACATAAAATAACTGTGAATTTTCCAGTAATTTTTCATTTTTGCTGAAAACAAATACTAAAATCAAGGAGGTGGTTACTAATTTAGCTATCTTTGTATCTCATAATGAACTTAATGACACAAATTACTTTAAATATGATTATGAAAAATCACTCTAGTGATGTAAATTGTATAGAGCAGAATATATTTAGGTTAGAGAAATAATAATTTCTCATGACTTGTTAGAAAGACAAAAGCAGTAGTAAAATCCTAGAAGGAAGATCATGAGCACACAGGGGACCTTATGAGAGTGATGCAGCCAAGTTGATGTGGCTTACAAAGATGCTTCTCCATGGGGATTATTGATGACAATAACTCTTTGTTATAGCATATTCATTTCTAGCATATCTATCCCTGGAGTCCTGCAGCAAGGAAAAGAAAGTTTACATTATAATTGTCCTGATGACAAATATAAATGAAAAAAAAAAAACAGATTTTTAACTGCTTCTAGGGGGAAGATTTCTTTTTACATGGTGATCATGAGTGTGTACTTTTTCTCTAACCTCAGCTTTCACTCATAGTGAACGGAAGGAAATAAACTCAGTATAGCACTTGGTGTGGACAGAGATCAATGTGGCTACCTCACCTCCGGCAATAGTGACAGTATGATACCTAAGAAAGACCTTTGTTTTCAAAATGCTGATTCTAAAGGGTTTTTTTTTTTAATGTTTATTCATTTTGAGAGAGGGAGAGAGAGAGAGAACACACATATGCAAGCAGAGGAGGGGCAGAGAGAGAGAGAGAGAGAGAATCTGAGGCAGGCTCCATACTGTCAGCTTGGAGCCCTACATGGAGCCCACGCTCATGAACCATGAGATTATGACCTGACCCAAACTCAGAAGTGAGATCCTTACCCAACTGAACCACCCAGGCTCCCCAAAATGCTAATTCTGCAACACAACTGTTGGGCACATAATCAAACAAAGATTTAAAGAAGCAGTTATCTAAAGAAAATCTCCAGAGAAAGTATATATCACTAACCATGCCTTAACATCCTTTTGTTACTCAGTAAAAAGATTCTGAAAGGGATATCCAGTTTCTAGGAGATCTCTCAATAAGAAATTCAAAACTTAGATTATATAGTTCTCAATTGATATTGATATTAGAGTGTCAATATTGAACATATTAAAGCCAAAAATTTAACTGAATAAATAAATCATGACGCCTTCACCATTTCATTGGTGACTCAGAAGAAGAGAAAATGGTTTCAATCAATATTTTTGTAAGTTCAGGACCTCCGGGGTGGCACTGTTGGTTAAACATCCAGCTTTGGCTCAGGTCATGATCTCACAGTCCGTGTTCGAGCCCTGCGTTATGCTCTGTGTTGACAGCTCAGAGCTTGGAGCCTGCTTTGAATTCTGTGTCTCCCTCACTCTTTGCTCATCCCCAATTCACGATCTGTCTCTCCCTCAAAAATAAATAAAAATTTAAAAATATATATTTGGATGAATTCAGTTGCTGTTTTGTTTTGTTTACATTACTATTATGGAAAAAAACAAGTAAATTGCTGGTTTTTTATGTTGTTCATAAAAGCAAGCTTAAAGCAAAGGCTAGCAAAGAAACACAATCCCCCCATATGGCTCCAACACACAATTAATTAAATAAGAGGAGAGGATCCATACATACTGCATCCCTGCCATGTTGCCTTTCACTTGGTAAGAATGCTATGGGATTAGACTCAAATGGAGCTACATTTATACTTATTTATTCTCAGTTTGAGTTGGGAGATGATACTGAGCAGAGGTGTGTCATTGTATAGAAAATGACAGAGGATTTAGGAACAGTATGGTGGGAATGAGGGGATTAACTGGTTATGAATCAGACAGTGTGTGATTAAGTCTTGGCTTCTTACTGTTTAATTTGAGTGTTACTTAAAATACCTGAACTTCAATATGATTCACTCTAAATTAGGGAAAATAATGAGGTTGATAATCCCTACCTTTTAGGGTTGTGACAAATAACAACATAAAAATTAAGTAACTAATGTAGAGTGTGCCCTTCAGAAATGGGGAGATTCTCTCTGTTGTGATTGTGGTTGGTTTTAATTTGTTATTGCTGGGAAAACTGTAAGTTCTGTATCTTTCTAGATGAGTGAAATTGCGCATGTCTTAAAACCTGATTTTCACTTTCTACTTTTATAAAGTAATAATTACATCATCTGGCTTACCTAAGAATCTTAACGTGAGATTTTTAACTTTAAAAACTGTGTTAATAGATGTTTATTTTTTATCATCATTATTATACTGAATGGCCTAATATAATTAGCTAAATTTAACAGTGATTCTTCAATTCAACCTCAGCTTCACTGATTCATTCATTCATTCGCTTATTCTTTCACAAGATAATTTTGAGCACCTACTCTGTGCTGGCATTGATCAAGGTACATTGCTCCATAGATCTTACAGTCCTGGCAGGAGAAACAGATAATCCCTTCTCCTCACCACTGCTCCCCTCCCCCGTTCTTCTCAATTTTCCCTACTGCTGCCCCCATGCTCTCCTCTCCTCTCTCCCCCTGTGCTCATTTCCCTTTTCCTCTCCACACTCCCCTTTTCTCTCCTCTCTTACTTCTCTTGTCTGCCTCCTCTTTGTCCCTCTTCCCCGCCTTCATCACCTCTTCTCTTTTCCTATGTCCTCTTCTTTACCACCATTGTGGTAACCATTTTTACGTTTTTTACCAATACTGTGGTGACCTTTTGTTCCCCCACGGTGTGGTATAGTCTTAGGGTCTTTACACTTCTTATGGGTCAGTTGCTTCAGGGGAGGGCCCTTCCAAGATTCTGTCAGAAGCTTCAGATTTTTTAAGTCCTGGACTCCATTGTCATACAGAATGACTTCCACTACTTTCTGTTGCTAAGAATAGATCAACAGAGCCATTCCAAGTCTAATGGGAGGAGAAAAAGACCTGGCTTCTCAATGGGGAAGTGGCAAGGTGACCAGAAATATTGTTGCAACAATATTTAGAATCATAGTCTCCCAGAAGTATACATAATGGCATAATCATTTTATATTCTGGCACCACTGGTCATCTCATCACATCCTGGTAACTAAAAGTTTGTAGAAAGTACTCCCGTCTAAGAAACACATTGAGAAGCACTGACCTACGTTCTAGAACAGCATGCAGAGCAGTCAGACTTCTTTTGCTGATCTTAATAAGATATTGTAATATGTTGGTTTTATGTTGGATTATATATTTATATATAGAAATAATTCTAGAAAGGAGTTTATAAATAAATAGTCAAAAATTACATTTCTGAAATATAATTTTCTCAAATGAAATAATATTGGAAATTTGTCTTTATTTAATAAAGTTCTTATTACTTCAAGGTCTTGATATGGATTCATGAAATCAATCCTTTTCCTCCTTATAAAATTATTCCCATCCTTTAATATAATTTGACCTAATTCTTATCAGCTGATATAAAATCTGACTGAAAGAAGCTGTTTTTCTGTAAAAGGAATATGTCTTAGGTTTAGCTATAATTGACAAAGGTATGGGTCATGATTTCTCAAATAATTTCAAGACTCTCAATATTTGAGAAACCATATCCCATGAAGGGAAGGATTTTCACCTATTATAACCTGAAAATATGAAAAAATACATTGGGTCATTAAAGTGATTAACTAGATTTTTGTCTGTATTTTTTTGTGACATGCATCTTAGAATATTAATGGATATTAATCCATTATTTTGTGGACTTCTATGAGATTCTTTTAAAGAGCTGATTCACCAGTAAATTTATTAACTAAAATTTTTAAAATATGTGATAAAAATTATACTTATTATTGAATGAGGAGAATTAAACTATTAAGTAAAAATACTATTGCATAAAGGATTCGTTGAAATATACTGTATATATAGTATATATTATACAAAGCATTTATATAATTTAAGCTCTCCAAATGGTCTGATGTTCCTAATTTTTTTAAATATAATTTGAGGTAAGTATATACACTTATTACAAAGTAAAAGTTTTAAATCAAAAGACTTTTGTTCAGGAACAGATTTAAGTGAACTTGTTTCCTGAATTGTATCTACAGTTATGTATTTCAGCTCCCTCTTAAGTACCAATCTGAACACTGCTGTCGCAGAGTGGGGACTGAAAATGGCCTTTCTAGTATAAGGAGGGCCAGACACAACCAAAAGTAGTTTTCATTGGAAACCTTTTTCTAGAATCTATATACTTTAATACGAATTTTAGTGTGAGAGACCGTAACCTGTTTATAGTGTATTGGCACAAGTACATGTAGGAAAAGTAAGTGTAAATGATGTCTGCACTGGAATAAGCATTTAGTGGTTATGCTTTTTCCAACGTTTGTCTTTTGTATTAATAGTTAATATTACCCACGATGCTCCCACCCTGATTGTCTTACAGATTCTTAAAGTGGGTGTAATATACCACTTTATATAGATTATAAAGAATTGACCTTCCCTTTACAAAAATAAATGAGTAAAGTGATTCCTCAAAATTATTTTCTTTTATTAAGCACCACCTATGTGCTTAATAGGAAAACAACGAGCGCTCTAAGGGAGA